GTAGCCTTGGTCACCCCCACTATTACAAAATGTTGATTCTTGTGTATCTGATGAAATGTCGTGTTTAGAATTACATCGTATATTTCAGACTAAGCTAATCTAATGAACAAAAACTTTCCAGTCTCAACAAGTGTTAATGTTCATTCACACCAACACACAACACACAACACACACACACACACACACACACACACCACACACACACACACACACACACACACAACACACACACACACACACACAAAGGAGGAGAGAGAGAGAGATGAGAGAGAGAGAGAGAAAAGACGGTCCATGACAAAACTGCCTCGCGCACAAGCAATTCCGACCCTTACCGACAATCCCTCCGATTACTTTATAACTATAATTTGACTCATATCTTGTTTATACTCAAAATGTTCCTCGGAAAATGCACTGTCTATATTGCTGCTTCTGTAATCATTATTGTTGTACATATTCTAGTTATCAATTATTCACGATTATTCTATCGACATACCTTCTTGTCATGAAGCTTTTAGTCCTGTAAACATCTCTTTTCTCACATGCCAGAGTATATAAGGTATCCCTTGTTTCATCACCACGAAACCATCATGTCACCCTATGTTTCTAAATTTGTGTTCATTCATATTCTTTCATGTTTTCCATTACGATATGTTTAAAACGAATTTTGTTCATGGTAATTCCTCTGCCATGGAGTCAGACCCTCGCCGACCTGCTCCTTCTTGGGCGTCTCTGCCTTGTCCTCTGTACCAGATACCAGATTAAAGACAAGAAAACCGATAACTTCCATTACACCATCTTCAGAGTACACCTGTACCTTACTGACCTACCGCTCACCTACACAACTGTCACACGCCAAGAACAAGAAGTATAATGTGTGGAGAATACGCCATCTTACGTATTACAGACAGGACAGACGGAGACAGAGGTGAGAGTGTGAGGAGAGAAACTATTCTCAAACACTTTGCATTTCCATCATATTGCAAAAGAAAATGAAACTCGAGACCGACGAATGCAGAGGGGAGGGGAGGGGAGGTGGAGCAGGGGGGCGGGGGGAGCACGTGGCTTCAAATCATATGTTTACCACTTCTGGGTCAATGGGTACGTCGGCATTAAAAAGGACAGTGCAATAGCATTCTGCCTATTACGTCATTGCAGGATATTTCCATCTCCCATTTCTCTTTCCACGTGACGTAAATCTGTACGTCATTTTTGCGTAAATGAAGATTAAATGAGCTGCCATTGACGCATGTGGGATAGCATTTGGAATGTTTTTTTGTTTTTGTTTAGTTTAGTTACGTATTTTTCATTTCTATTATCTTTCGCGTATTACACACCCATGCATACACGTATATATAGGCACTTTGAATTTGACACGTTTATTGAGACAAAAGTAAAATTACATCTCAAAAGGATGATGTTATCCGCAACCTTTACTTAATAAGTCGCTGTGCTCGTGTGTGTGTGTGTGTGTGTGTGTGTGTGTTTGTGTTGTTGTGGTGTGTGTGTGTGTGTGTGTGTGTGTGTGTGTGTGTGTGTGTGTGTGTGTGTGTGTGTGTGTGTGTGTGTGTGTTGTGTGTGTGTGTGTTGTGTGTGTGTGTGTGTGGTGTGTGTGTGTGTGTGTGGTGTGTGTGTTGGCGTTGCTGCGTTGTGCGTGATCATTCGTGTAAGGCAACGGAAGCTACCAGATCAATGCACGAACGATTCAGAACAAAACAATAAGTGAAGACGAGCGAAGAAACCAATACTACAGGCTACTCAACCTCGAGACGGTGCCATAAGAGGCCCCGCCGCGTGCCAAAAGAGTTCGGGCACGTTTTCATATGTCAGCGGATGTGTTGGGCATGTCTTTGACCCTCCGAGGCTTTGCTGGCATTGGCGCCAAGTGGCTCTCTCGACGGGGGTGCGTGGTCCCCGACAG